GCGGTGGCTCATGCCTGTAATCCTAGCACTCTGGGAGGCCAAGGTGGGAGGATCGCTTGAGCTCAGGAGTTCGAGACCAGCCTGAGCAAGAGTGAGACCCCGTCTCTACTAAAAATAGAAAGCAATTAGCCAAATAACTAAAAATAGAAAAAATTAGCCGGACATGGTGGTATGTGCTTGTAGTCCCAGCTACCTGGGATGCTGAGGCAGGAGGATCGCTAGAGTCCAGGAGTTTGAGGTTGCTGTGAGCTAGGGTGATGCCATGGCACTCTAGCTCGAGCAAGAGAGTGAGACCCTGTCTCAAAAAAAAAAAAAAAAACAAAAAAACTCTCTTTCTAGGTAAAACCAGTCTTACTTAGCTCAAGTGAAATCTCAAAGCTAGTAAACAATCTTTGCAAACAAGGAAACTTTAGTTTTTAAATAGACCAACCATACCTTGCCAATTCCAGAAGTGATTTCCCATAGAAAAAGAAGGCTTCTCCACACTCATTAGCTGTCTCTCCATACTTCTTACCTCTACAAAGAGAATAAACAAACATCTATCGATAAAATCTGAATTAACATGTAGTCTAACACATTTATTTCTAGTTCTTTAGTTATAAACTGACATTTCTTCAGTAACATACTCCTAAGAAATCAGTACTTCCCCTTTGTTTCAAGTCAAGGTCAAATGGACTCTGGCTCACACCTGTAATCCTAGCACTCTGGGAGGCCGAGGCAGGATAGCTTGAGCTCAGGAGTTCGAGATCAGCCTGAGCAAGAGCAAGACCCTGTCTCTACTAAAAATAGAAAAAATTAGCTAGGTGTGGTGATGCGCGCCTATAGTCCCAGCTACTCAGAAGGCTGAGGCAGGAGGATCTCTTGAGCCTGGGAGTTTGAGGCTGCTGTGAGATAGGCTGATGCCATGGCACTGTAGCCTGGGTTACTGAGGGAGACTCTGTCCCCAAAAAAAACAAAAAATAAGAAATAAACAAAAAAAACCAATGTATTAAGTTAATGTTACATGTTCTTCATCTATCTATGATGTATATTCTAAGTGACATCAATTTGCTACAGTTAGTATATAATATTAGGGCTGAACTGCATTAATAGGTATTCCTCCTGCTACGAGACAGGTATCAATACAGACTAGAATAAAGGACCTTTGTCTGGGACCTAGAGAATGAGTAAGGTCCATGAGAAGGCATCATGATATAAATAAAGAACAAAATGTCTGGAGTCATTCTGCCTAGGTTCAAATCCTACCTTTAAACCCTAACTAGCCCTATAACCTTAGACAAATTACTTATTCTCACAGTGCCTTAGTTTTTTCATTTGTAAAATGGGAATATAAATTGCTCAAAAAGCTAAGGCAAGAACTAAATGAGTTCGTGTATGTAAAAGCATTGAAAACAATGCTTAGAAACACAGCACTGTGTAAGTTTTAGCTATCAATATCTAGACAGGGAAGAAGGAGAAAAGAAATCACACAGTGTGATGAATGGGAAGGAAGAGGTACTTCTCTATGTAAAGTAAGGAAACCAACTTTCAAGCAGTAAAAGACTGGTGGAAGTCACGCAAAATCAGGCGAACTATTGAGAGTAACTAGAGAAACTAAGCAGGAGATTGTGATCAAGGGTCATCTTTAAAGGTAGTCTATTAGATTAGAATAGTGTACCTCAAATTTTCCTCCTAAACACCCTTAATGGCAGGACAGTAGAGATATTGACCTCTCTAGGAATCTAGGAAGAATAAGCTAAGAAAAGTGTTTGTTTGTGCTTCATCTTAAAAACTTGATAACAATTTACATTGTAAGACGACCATGCATTTTTATATAAAAATACCTAGATACTATCAGATAACGTTTGGTCTCCACCGCCACAGCCCAATGCATTAAACTCAGGTGGAGATAAACAAAGATGCCAAGAATCAGACAAAAGATTATTAATGACATCCAGGAATAAGATTCTGTTCTGGATGTTGGGAGAGGGAATAAGTGTTAGGGTAAGAATGGAATGATATGATCGTTAATCATAATGAGCAGGAAAAATGCTGTGCTGGCCAGGTGCAGTGGCTCATGTCTGTAATGCCAGCAGTCTGGGAGGCCAAGGAGGGAGGACTGCTTGAGCTCAGGAGTTCGAGACCAGCCTGAGCAAGAGCGAGACCCCGCCTCTAACTAAAAATAGAAAAATTAGCCAGGTGTTGTGGTGTGTGCCTGTAGTCCCAGCTACTTGGGAGGCTGAGGCAGGAGGACCACTTGAGCCCAGGAGTTTGAGGTTGCAGTGAGCTACAGTGGCACCAGTGTACTCCTACCCAGGGCAACAGAGTGAGACTCTGTCTCGAAAAAAAGAGAAGAAAGAAAGATGAAAAAAAAGAAAAATGCTGTGCT